AATTCCCATGTTGAAGCCCTAATTCCCAATGTGACTGTCTTTGGAGATAGAACAGGAGTTAATAAAAGTTACCAAGGAGGTAATAAAGGTTAAAGGGGGTCATAGGGCAGGGCCCTGATTCTATAGGATGAGTGACCTTATAGGAAGAGGAAGAGACACCAGTGAGTGCGTGCTCTCTCTCTCTCTCTCTCTCTCTCTCTCTCCCTCTCTCTCTCTCTCTCTCCACCATGTGAGGACAGAATGAGAAGGCAGCCGCCTACAAGGCGGGGAGAGAGCCCTATCCAGAAACCAAATTCATCTTCACCTAGTACTGCCCAGCCTCTAGAACTGTAAGAAATACATACTTGTTTAAGCCACCCCGCCTGTGGCAATTTTTTATGGCAGCCTGAGCTGACTAGCCCAGTTCCCAGGAGGAGAGAGGGGCACAGCGTGCCATGCAGGCCACACAGGGAAGCGCCGGGTCAGCCGGAAGGCAGAGGGAGTGAGGGGAAAGGTAGGTGAGGACCTTTAGTGTGGCTTCCAAGGGAAGGAACAGGAGAGGAAGGGTAAGCAGGCTTAGGATTGGCCATTTGAATTATTTGAATAATTTCCGTGGTCTCTGAGGTGTAAGGGCTGTCCCAAGTTTTCTGGTGCATGGGCCTGGAGTGATTAGGGTAGAGAACAGTGGTTCTAAGTGAGAGAGCCTGGACTGGCAGTGTGGGCTCTGGCTGGTTTGCATATGAAAGTGCACCCTAGTGAGTAATTTGCTATCTCTAGGAACTGGCTAGCCCTACGAGGGACGGGGTCTCCTGGACCAGCAAGGCACCAAGAGGTCAAAGGATCAGAACTGCAGAAAATAGAAAGGCATAATTAATACAGGATGGAGAAGAAAAGATGCAGAGAGACTAGATACTACACTGGAAAGAGAACACAGCAACAGATTGGTTAAAGCCATGAAGAATGCAAGACCCACTGTTGATCCTGTGTGAGCAGGTGACCCGCTTGCTGTCACTCAAGAGCACATTTTCTGCCTACCTGCCGTGGCTCTTGGCACTCAGATCCTTTAGGAAAGCTACAGTGTCTTCTCTTCTGGCATTGAAGGACACTGTGTAGACTGGATACGGGATCTCCAAGGCCCTCTGGAGGAGAAGCTCCTTGGATTCTTCAGGAACATCCCCCACCACAAAGTAGTACATGGATTCAATCTGCAAAACAGTGGTGCCAATGGTTTATCTCCCTGACACGCCCTAGCTTGGTACTAGACTCGTCAGTAATACCCTTTCTACAAAATGACCTCTTAAAAAAAATGGGCAGAAAGAAAGCAGCCCTGCCCAGGGTTTTCTGAGGACATCAGGGCCAGTCAGGAAGCGAGATATTCAAGGCTTGGTGCCAAGAAAGTCTCTCAACAGTGGCTATTGTCTTGGGTGTGGCATGAGAATAATACGGTTGGCAGATTTGGAGAACTTCCTCTGGGCCACGAATATATCGCAGTGGTTATTTTCAAGTCAAGCAATGAAGGAAGGACTGGCACAGCCCCTGCAGGCAGGAAGCTTATCTGCCACCTCCCATGGCAGTGCCAGAATCCTATGATGCAAACTCATGCATCCTGTGTCTGAGGCAGAATGTGGAAAGGAGGGCACATCCCCAGCTGGCTCCACCTCTGGGCTCACCTCAGCAGGGACTCACACGCCTGGGGCTAGGGTGTGGGTGTCCTGACTGTGCACAGCTGGTCAGATGCCAGGTCCGCCTGCAGTGCCCTGCCTCTTGCCACCAAACCAGGCCATGAGAAGAATGGGAGAATAAGCAAGCCCTGTGTCAGGACACACACCCACACATACACACACACACACCTTAAACCAGTGATTCTGGAAGATGCACACCTCCCCCGATAAGCAGACAATCCCAGAGAAGTGCCACCTGATGAATTGAGAGATAGAGAACTCTCTATCTCAGGGCAGCCGCTCCTCCCGCCCTGTGGCAGCCCCGCCACCCTCGCTCCTCCCAGGACGGTGCTTCTGCAGTGCTCCCCGCCCCTGCCACCCGGGAGCTCTGTCACCTCAGGCAACTGACCTAACTTCAGTGTCTTCCCTTGTAAAAAGGGAGATAATGCAGTTTATTATTCATGGTGGAATTGAAACAGGATGACTTCCAACTATGTGTGCATTTCTATACATCTCAGAAAGTAAAAAACCCCAGGAGAGCCAGGAATCCGTATCCTCTCAACCTGCCCTAAAAATGTCTCGATGGACTGTGTCCACACATAACCGGGGAAGAAACCCCAGCAAATGTATTGTGTTAGGGGATAAATAGACGTCTCCCTCCCTTTAGGATTCATGACCCTCTCCTTGCTCTAATCCCAAATCCCGATGAGCTGAAGATAGTCAACAAATGGCCTCACCGCAACATCTATCCCAGGCCTTAAACGCACCTGGCTGGGGAGGTGGGGGTGGCGGGTGTCCTCATGGTTGATTTCTAGTTGGTCGGGGTGCTCTGCCTGCGGCAGATGGAGCAGACTGTGCCAAGGAGGTGGAAGAGATGAGGGTGGGAGGCAGTGGGTGGGGCCCAGACTGGGACTTAGGAGAAGGGCAGAGTG